TGAAGATTGAATCGACATTTATGCATTCATAAGAACATCATTTGCATAAAAGAAAATGCATTACGCTGATACATTTCATTGCATTTGTGTTTCATGCATAAACACATGGTTTTGATAGATCTTCCAGTGAAAAGAGAAGATACAGGATGTTAAAATCCCGATAATTGAAAGGTAGAAGGTAAACATCAAATACAGGGAATCATGTTTAGAGAGGCAGAACCTGAGGAACGCAGGGGTCAATCCGCAGAGGAAACATTACTTTGAAGCGGGGAACGAGGCCCGACCTTTAAGTCATTTTATGAAGTGAAATGAGAAGGATTTCTCATTAAAATATGAAATTTGAGATTTTGAAAAATAAGTAAGGTTTCATACCCAGCAAACAATTTAAGTCAATCGGGCCATCAGTAAGTCTTTCGAGCATGATGATTAAAAATCCTTCAGGTCATCTATAAGCCTTTAGAGCAAGATGATAAGTCCTTCGGGCCATCCATAAGACCTTCGGGTAGGATGTTTTCACATGAGTTTGAAAAATCAAAAAGTGATGTTTTAAGAAAATGAAACCTTTGAAAACTAAAAAGGATTTTTCCCCCAAAATTTCGCACTTAGTAAGTCATTCGGGCCATCAATAAGTCTTTCGAGCATGATGTTTAAATCCTTAGGGCAATCAGTAAGTCTTTCGAGCATGATAATTAAATCCTTAGGGTAATTTATAAGCCTTCACGGAAGAGTAGTGAAGCAAACCCATCAATAAGTCTTTCGAGCATGATGATTAAATCATTCGGGTAATTTGTAAGCCTTCACCGAAGAGTAGTGAAGCAAATCCATCAGTAAGTCTTTCGAGCATGATAATTAAATCCTTCGGGTAATTTTTAAGCCTTCACGGAAGAGTAGTGAAGCAAATCCGTTAGTAAGTGCCATCAATAAGTCTTTCGAGCATGATGATTAAATCTTTCGGGTCATTTGTGAGTTTCTCGAACAAGATGATAAATCCTTCGGGTCATCCATAAGACCTTCGGGTAGGATATTTTCACACCAAGATGATAAGTCCTCCGGGCCATTTTAAGCCTTCTCGGAAGAGCATTGGAGCCAGCCATCAGATCATCAGATGTGGGAGGAAAGAGAAGGTTCTCAAGTACAAAGAAATGGAACAATTGATTGAAAGAAAATGCGCACGAATTAACCGATTCAAGGTCCCAGGAAGAGAGAGGTTTAGATGGTAGCCGAGTCCAAGAAGATTCTCATATATAGATTAACCTTCAAAGTTGAGCATTCATGGAATAATGGTGAAGCAGAATCACACTAGAAGATTATTCGAGTTCTACTCCCTGAAGCAAGAGGGAGCGAACTCGTAAGCAGAAGATTGTTCGAGTTATACTCCCTGAAGCAAGAGGGAGCGAACCCGTAAGCAGAAGATTATTCTAGTTCTACTCCCTGAAGCAAGAGGGAGCGAACCCGTAAACAGAAGAGTGTTCGAGTTCTACTCCCTGAAGCAATAGGGAGCGAACCCATTTTTAGAAGATTGTTCAAGTTTCTTAATCCCTGAACAAGAGGGAGCATACCTATCATTTGAAGATTTTTCAAGTTTCATTTATCTCGAAGTAACAGTGGAGTGGTTTAATCTTTTAAAGTTCTCAGGATCGGACAAACTCGATTATCTTTTGATCTTTGCTCTATTCTCGTTACACGACAATGAGCAAAGAGGGGTAGCTGTAGATACTCGGTTTATCCGGGATTAAGTTGGAGCCCTGGAGAATCTAGCACGTGCCCAAACCAATTAGAAGCCCAACATGGAAATCAAAGACAGTTATGAGAAGGGTTAGTAAGTCATTATCAAGAGGGGTCGGTTTTTTTTTAACTCCTAGAAACCACTATAAGCCACGATCAACCACTGGAAACAAGGGGGAGAGGTTACAAAGCAAAAGGAAAAGAAAAAAAGAGATTAGAAAAAAAGGGACCACCAACAGAGATTAGAAAAAGAGGAGACCAACGAAAAATTTGAAAAGAAAAAGCATTTGAGAAGAGAGGAGACTACGAGCAAAAAAACCTTATTAATTTCGGCAATTTCACAGTGTAAAGGGGATGCGAAAAGGAATCATAGTGTAATCTCACGATTCAAAAATAAAGAAAGCAATAGAGATCTAGCTTGCCATTGGTCCTTTCTATTGCAGCTGGCGCTTCGTCGGCTGTTCAAATGGTTCGTGGATCTAATGCTATGGGTACCCAGTCTGTTGAAGGAACGCCTGAATTATCTGAGGCAGACATGGTTGTATTTCTTGGCGATTTTAATTATCGACTTGATGATGTGTCATACGATGAAGCTAGAGATTTTATATCTCAAAGATGCTTTGATTGGCTTAGAGAAAGGGATCAACTCCGAGCTGAGATGGAAGCTGGAAATATTTTCCAGGGAATGCGGGAAACAGTTATTACTTTTGCTCCCACATACAAATTTGATAAACATGTTGCTGGTTTATCAGGTACCTTATATATTAGTTATGAATTCTTCATCTTGTTTCCAATCTTAATGTCAATCTCTTAGTGTTTATTTTTTGCCTTCCGACTGATGCTGTGCATTTTATGATTCATAAAGTGTTTCGGCAATTGCTGTTGTTAAAGTGTAAAGTAGTCTATTAAGATATTTTTCACAAGGGATTAGGATTTACCTAGACTGCTTGAACATAAATGGGGTCTTGTTGACTCTATTTGTTCTTTGTGTGGTTCTATTGTCAAGGAAAAAAGACGAGATTTAGTTTAACAAAATTAAAATAAAATAGAAGGGAGGGAGTGGTTGTTTACCTTTGAAAAGAGTAGTTCTCGCCATTGGGAATGGTTCACCGGAGCTTTAGGCCCGTTCATGTCAAGGTTAGATTCCTTACCAGTTCGTTTAAGAGAGCAAGTTGAGCGTGGGTGAGGCAATGCTTTGCGTGGAAGAAAGGGAAAGTGGAGAAGGGTATTGGAAGTGGCCATGTTCTTTAGTTTTAACAAATAATTTAGGTTTTTTAAGTTAGGTTATATATTATATGTTTTGGGTAAATTAGGGTCTAGTCATTATAACTTTAGGTGTAAATTATCTTTAAATCCTCCTAAGTATAACGTTTTTTATAATTTAGTTACCTATAGGGCTTGATTTTTGAATTTTTTTTAATTTGTCTCAACTTAGATATTTTCCAGTTTTTGTTTTAGTTACTATTTTGAGTTATTTAGGGTTAAGTTCCTTATATTTATGTTCGTTTTTATTTAATTCTTTGTTTAAATTTTTAGTCAGGATGTTTAATTTTACGTATGTTTAAATTTAGTCATTGCTTTAATAGGGATATATATATTTTTTAAAATTTATAGTTTAGTATGCCATATTTATTTTTTATATTTGACTCACATTTGTACATTATAGGTTAATATGCATGGTTATAATTTTTAATTTTAAATATATGTATATAATTTTTTGTATTTCACGTTGTATGCTATTTTTAATTTTGTTTAATTGATTTTGGCATGACATTTTTGCATAATTTGTATGATACCCTCATGTGCATAACTCGACCTATTACATAATCAGACTAAGGGTAATACCATTTTAATTTAAAATTGTCTTGAGTGGCCTGTCTTAACTGATTAGAGGGTCGTTTTGACTATTTTAAATTAAAAGTGTATCCCGAAAGTAAAACAAAAAAAATTGATTCGCCTAAAATTTGGGAACGAAAGAAAAAGAAATGTTCGTTTATTTAAATTTATCGAGAAAAAGGTTGTTATAGCTTTTAAGATTTGGTCTCGATATTTGTAAATAATCGAACATTCTTTATCTTTCTAAAACGACTTGGTAATTTCAATTTAATTTATTTGAGTGCTTTTGAATGTTTTCAAATTTACATATTTGTTTTATGGGATCAAAAGTCAAATTAAGTTCGAATTTCTAAAGTTCATTGCAAAGACATTAATTAATCGACTAGGTACCGATTTAGGGCGTTGTGGGGGTGCTAATCCTTCCCCACACGTAACCGACTCCCGAACTCATTTTTTGGTAACGCAGACCTCAATTTGTTGTTTTAATTAAAAGTAATTTTTATTTAAAATGACAAAACATTTTTGGGTGCCCAATCACACCCTAATCAAGGATTGGTGGCGACTCTTCGAACCATTTTTTTTATCATAAAGGAAATCTAAAATTTTTCAAAACGATAGGTTTTTTAAATCACATTTGTTTTTAAATTAAAAATCAATTGAAAGAGGTAAATTAATAATTAATGTGGTTTTTAAAATTTCACCTTTTAAAGAAAAAAATCGTTTCGACAAATATTTTATTAAAAAACCCTAATTTTTCTAAAAGTGCAAAAAAAACCCAACATCCTAAAATCCCTAACTCTAACCTTATTATCTCTCTTGGTGGACACAACTACCGATATCACCGTCGTCCTTGTCGTCTCCTTTATCAGCTGTCGTCGTTCTTGTTTTCGTTCTTGTGTCGAGTCACATAGGTGTCGCGATATTTCAAAGTCGTCGGACTCACCAGTTTTTGGGTCGTTGGAGTCTAGTCGTCGGGTGGACGTCTGACCAAATTGTAACAACGGTAAATGAAGGCGTCTGACGTAGATATAAAGATTGGAATTAGGGTTTTCAAAGTTTTGAGTTCTTTTAAGATTTGAGAAAATTGTGTTTTTTCAATTATAATTTTTTATTTTAAATAAATTTTTAAAAGTATATAAATATGAGACATGTCACTTAATATAATTTTTAACGGCTGTTACAGTCAAGACACTTAAAATGATAACATTTATAATATTAAATACATAGATTTGGAAATAAAAAAAAAGTTTATGCACCTATGTGGGGGGAAATGTATACTTAGAACACTTTTTAATATATAATTAAGCCTTATTTTTATTTTCTTAAAAAAAACTCGTTTCTCGAGTTCTGTTCAATTTTATAGTTGATCGTTGACATAATATTTATAAAAAATAAAATAACTTTTCAATTTATAAATTAAGGGTAAAATACATATTCAATCACCCGGTTTTCCAAGCATATAGAACATAGCAAAATTTTGGATCATTTATGTTGCAATAGTCGTCGTCGTTGATGATGGAACTTTTAGCTTTGGAGTCTGAAGAACCTGGTTCAGCTGGTGTGAAAATAAACAATCCATGGCTAGAACCGGGACTTTTATTATATAACCAATCATGCACATCCCAGAAAACTTGTACCGGTGTTTTGTTCACTGTGACTATTTCATTTCCTCTGAACCTCCAATGAAGATTCATAACCCGAATCATGGCGATGCCGTCTATGGTAACCCACATTTCGGGATCGTCGGGACCGGATAGACAATTCTCGATTATAATGTCATGTTCTTGTTTCTCCTCACCTAGTTTGGCCTTGGAACAGAAGAGTTTTTTCCCACAAACATGCTCTTTCTTGCACATCAAGGTAGGGTCTACGGAGGAAGGTTTTTTTCTGGTTCTTTTGAAAGCATCTATCTTCATATCTCCTAAAACTAATGCCACTTTTTCACCAGATACCATTGCCACATAATAGTCTGAGGAGGGCTCGGGGCTATCGTCGAACTTAGCCTGTCGTAGATCCCAGTAAATGTCTACCTTTTTGCCATCTACTTCCATGTTTTTCAGACCTTTTCTTCTCCAAAATTGCCATCCAGTTAAATCGATCTTGATGGTACTGGGATTTTGATCATCATTAGGGTTCTCTACACTGATAGTAAAGGAATGACTGGTAGGGGTTTTGCACCATGTGGCCATTACTTTGCAGTACAAGTTCGCAATGTCGGCACCGTAGATTGTGGTGACTGAGCATTGTGCAGTATTATCCGTTGTTGCCTGGATCTCCTTTTCCTTCTCCGTTGACAGCGGTGGCCTTGGAATGTTTGGTAATGCAGCTCCCTCAAGATTGTTTAACACTGTTAAGGTCCTCGACATGATGTGATTCCGGAGATGCAAGGTTACTTGGTATTTCCAACTTGTCCACAAAATAGTTAACCCCAGGAAACAGGGTTCCTCCTAGCTGTTACCGAAATCTGTATATCGACTCTGATACTCCTATTAAACCTAGTGCGCCGGTTTCATCCGAATATACCTTCTTTTCTTCATGAAGTGGTGGAGATATTTGGCCTCGAATGTCGCAACTTAAGGATGATTGAATTTGAGAAACCAATTTGTTGAGGAATGAAAATCACCAAGTTATGGAATTTGCATATATTGGAACTGCTATGTATTAATGGGATGAACAACTGCAGATATATGAGTTCAAGAGATGGTTCCATGCTAATGGATTTTGGAGTTGGTAACAATGGAAGTTAAACTTTGATAAATTTACATGTAAGATGAGGTTGTCAATGTTTATCAATCTTAAACAGAAATTTTATGGTTTTTATCTGCTATTACTATTTATAGACCATTGACTATTTTTTTTAAAAAAAAAACCATTCAAATGGAAATCTAAATTTAGTAATACTTAAAAACAGTAGTGTTCAAGATTTCCTGCCAAAAAAAAATGGATGAAAGACAGTTATTTGGTATCTGGTTTAACAAATAAACGGTATTCCTTTACTTTACCTTCCCTCCGTTTGCTGCTTTCGATTTTTCCGATTATTGTTCTACAAAATATAGACATTCTCTAATGCAGGATTGCCATGGATGGAAAAAGAGAGAATCAAATAAAACAAATCATATATATATATATATATATATGTATATGTATAGATAAAGATGATAAGTTTTTAAGTATACATATAAACAGCTCCAATGACATATCTTGATCAGCAATATCCTTTCAAAATGCAACCCGAAACACCAACCTCAATACTCACTGTACGAAGCTTTAAGAATATGTCAAAGTCCAGGAATTCATTCTTATATACGGTAGAATCCTCAAGGCAAAACCAAAAATTTCCCACGAGGTGATGATCACTCCGCCGAAATTCGGGCTTCGAAGTTTTACTTCCCTCCTTTGCTTGGCAGCTCACACCATTCGGAATTCGGTCATTTTTCTCTCCCAGAAAGGGTTCTACTGCTTGCACTAACCCCCTGTACATGGTAATGCAATATTCATTAGAACTAAACATGATGATAAATCTTATATGCAAATGGCATACCCTTTGTAAATGAAAGCATTGAAGTATACCTTGGTTCGAGATTCTGTGAATTCCCAGTAAAGTTCTGCCGAAGCCTCTTCGTCTTCAACGTGGCATGAACAGCAGAGCCAACAAGTGAATGCTCATTTTCTGGCTCGGTGAAGTCACTTTTCCGAGGCTCCTGTATTTTCTCAGTGGCGTCCATTTCAGAAAGCAATGTGATTCCGGCATCAGTTTTCTGAAGTCTTGCAGGCAGTTGATGCTTTGTTTTAGCCTTGCTCTCAACCTTGCTTTTCCTAATTCCACCCTGCCTAACATTAAGGGCTCGCCTAAACTGCTCATCTTCATGTTCCGAGTGAACTTTCTTGGTGCTATGTTTATGGAGATTGTTAAATGAGTCTGAGATGTTATCTTGTTTGGAAGTCTCTTGGGAACTTGTATGAACCCTGGAGGAGTTGCTAACTGTTGAGGGGATCGCAGTTGTTGTGGCAAAAGATTTGTTAACTGGTACTCTAGCCGGAAATGGTACTTTTGATACTGGCGGATTGTCAACTGTTTCAGCCTTGATCCTGCTTCTAATTAAGGTCCCTCTATCAGTGGATAAGGACCTTCGAACAGGAGGAGACGGTGACCTTGCCTTTACCGCACTCACTGATCTCTCTTCGGCTAGACTAGGCATCTTCGGAAATGCCTCCTTGTCTGCAAATGCAGATGGAAATCTTGACCTCCTTTGCTTACCTGAAGGGCAGCTTCTAGCCTGAAAATCCAATATAGCCATAAAATAGATGTAAAACGTTTGTTCTTAGACAAAATCCTGTCAAACTTTCAGATATGTTTTCAGTTACCTCAGAGATTCTATTATAATCACTAGGTCTCTGAGATGATTCAGGCTTCATGCTGGTAGACATTCCTTGTCGCGGAATTTGTAAAGGTGAAACCGCTCTTTCTCGTTGAGTTTCAGTCATGCTTCGAGCATTTCCACCTTTCAGTTGTTCTACTTCTGCTTCATTCTTTTCCAATGCAAGTTTAAGATTTGATATCTAAAATACATTTTTTGTCAAATGATTGAACAAGGTAGAAGAAAATTTTGCATAAAAATTTAAAAGAACTGGAGTTAAAAGTATTAATAACCCACCTCTTCTTTAAGCTCTCGTATTTCACCGGTTTCCTTGTTGGATCGAGCTGCCCCGAGTTCTATGGAAGCAACCCTCTCAGCAAATTTCAGTGTGCTAATTGTCTCTCCAATGGAATTGACTTCAGGACTTATATGTACAAACATTAATGTTTTAGCTTGACCACCTATTCCATAAAAGAAAATAAGATATGAACAAGTAAAGAAGATAAAATTCAAACAAAAAGGTTCAAATATATCACAAATGATGGGAAACATGCATATGTATTTGTGTGCATGTATACCTAAAGAATCCTGTAATACTTGAGTAAGCTTGCTGTTTCTGTAAGGAATATGTGCACTCTTTTGTGCAAGTGCTGAAATGACATCTCCTAGTGCCGAGAGTGATTTATTGATGTGTTGAGCTTCCTTTAATCTGTCACCAACGGCCTCGGATTTATCCACTCGCTCGCTTCCAGCCAAATCCACCAAATGCAGGCAACCTTTGAGAATAGATCCAGAAACCAACTCTTTCCCGTACACATGAATAGTCAAAATACTGTGAGAACGGCTACTTCGCTCGTTTAAAGCCGTAGCACCTACAGCACGATTCTTTTGACCAGTTCTCATCAAGTCAAGAACATCTTGAGTACTTGCAACTGGAACCCAACTTGCATCAGGCACATTTAGGCCATTCAACTGGGAATTATTTCGAATATCCAATGTATTGGTTGTTAAGGTGAACTATATGCCAATATAGAAATTACACACCTATATAGACAAAAAAAAAGATAGAACCAATAAAGTTGTAGTTCTAAGTATGTTAAAGGATATCTTCTGTTAGAGCCATCGACGACTAATAGATCTCTCACTTGTTCATTGTATATTTCATCATCTGCACCCCAACTTCATATTTAACAACGTCTGCTCTTTCCTTGGATATTTGAAACAGGTCACGTAGAGCACGATAGTTTACACCCCATGTTTGTTCAGTAGTCAAATCCGGACCACTCTGTGAAGAGCAAAAAAAATGAGTTGTAATTGAAGAGAGATGAAAGAAAAGAAGACATAGTGCAGCTACATACACAAGTAGAGTTTGTGAAAATACCATTGTGTATGTCTTTCCGGAGCCAGTTTGCCCATATGCAAAGATGCAAACATTAAAGCCATCTAAGACGGATCTGATCAGAGGTCGAGTGTCCTCGTATATTTGTTCTGCACATTAATATCATCGATTTGAATATGTGAACAAAGAAGTGAAGGATAACAAAGACCTAACTCCATGGAATAGGAAACACCTTGTGAGACGGTTGGTCCAAACACCTTGTTAAAAGAGAATACTTTTCTTGCATCTTTTCCCTGCTTTAAAGGATTGAGAATCATGATGTTTCCATTTTCTCCTATATAATCTACAGTTGATTGTCCATTTGTATGGCCTTGCAAAAAGGGCCTCACTCGACAGTAGACTCGTATCGTTCCTGTTTGAAAGCCGTAAAAAGGAGTTAAATCTGTGCCATTCATAACTTGTATAGATTCAGTTCATGTATCCAACAGAGATGCACACCTTTGAGGTCCTGGACTTGATTGTAAAGCATACGATTTTCTTCTAATACCTTGTGATAAGAAGAGGATGCCACTTCAAGACCCTTAATATGATTCACTACAAAGGGAAGAATATATAGTTTCATGATTTTATTCATTAACTTGTTAAATGACCATATAAAGTCTGTGGTTGAACAAAGTTGGATATTCTTACCTAGCCTTTTAAGCTCTTCCTCCCAATTTGAATGAATCTGTTTAACTTCAAGCTTTGTTTGTTGAAAATCTGATTTCATGTCCTAGAAGGATACAAAAAATATGACAAAAGGTTTTCGATTGTCTAAGGTACGTTTAGAAGTATACTCAAGCTAACAAATCAATATCAGATTGGTTTTTGAGGGAAAATTTTCCAAACCCGTATTTCTCTGTGCTGAAAATCAAGAAGCTCTGCATGAGCAACTGAGTGGCTAACAGTATGGCGAATAACATCTCGTTTCCCACCACAGATGCAGAACTTGGAGAAATTATTTGAAGCCATGCTTGTCCGTTGACCAAGATATAGTGAGATGGCTTCTATAAAATCGGATTTTGATAGAGAACTTATGTCAGCTTTCAAGAGTTTCTTCAGAAACAGCCCAAGCTGGGGAAAAAGCAGGCCAATGAACTATTAGATCATTTCATCCCTGGAAGAATGAAAATAAGGTCTTTGCCTTGTAACTAAAAGCACAGTTACTTGATTTCCAAGGCATAAGTACTTAATTGGGCCAGTGGCAGTTGAAAGTTCGTATTACCTGTGTTCCTTGATAAACAATCAATGCAGAGAAGTCCTTCACAATCTTACGGATTAATGTATCTATTAGCTGCAAAGGTTGATCAATCAATCAATCCGGATTACACGATAAGAGAAAGAACCAACTCATCGCTTCATTTTAGTTTAGTCAATTATTTGAACACTTATCAACAAGTTGGCATGGTCTTACCTACCGTTGTATTCAAGGGGAACTCATCGATCCCATTGCTTTCTCTAAGGTAAGCTTGTAGAAGACAAAGCCCAAAGCGATCAAAAAGAAAAGCCAGAGCATTGGCAGTTTTGGACTCCTCAATCGCGACTTCATTGGAGAGATGGAAAAACTCCAACAATTGTTCATATTGTGATGATTCTGATCCATCCAGAGAATCGTCAGCACTTTCACTTCCGATCAAGGAAGGCGGTGACCCTTTTGGGAAGGCTGTAATCTTTACAGTTCCTCCGTATCTCCAAACTCCGAATCCTCCCGCTTGTTTCCACTCATAATATCCTTTCAGGCAGAGAATGCAGTCCACAACTTTATTCATTGAGCCCCCCTGAAAATTCAAGTCTTTTATATTCATAAAATAGCATACTATAAGGATATAGAATCATCCAGATAACAACGGAGATAGCAAGGAAATTCAAACCAATCAGCAGAATAATGCTTCTTAAAGAAATAAATTGATGGAATCTTGAACTACTTGGATTTCCAAGTAGACCAACTAGAAGTTTGCTATGAAGGGTGAAGAACTGACGTTGCAGTAGTCTAGTTTAATACATTTCTAATTTATTAATTATGCATTCTGAAATGCTGAGTTCCATATATTTATAATGACTCATGTGCGTAAAAGCGCCGTTCAAGAAAAATCAAACCTTTTCAACATCAGAAGCTTCAAAGGTCAAGAGCTGCATATCTTTTACAGCTACCAGGAAATTCCTCATGTTTTCAAAATACTGGATTGCAGACTGTGCTGCCCCCTCTGTTAACTGGTCTGGGATTATTGGATTTTCCACTATCTGTAGAAAAACAGATTTAGTCAGAAGCAACTCGCTTTTAAGTTCAAATATAAATAGAATTCTTCTAAATTTGTGCACATAAGAGATGTTTCTAAGCTCTTTTTTATTGTTCTAAGAACATAATGAAGTTTATGAAATAAATACAACAGCAATCCATTGATAACCTTAGGAACAGCTCCAGGATTGACTTTGTTGAGAACATTGCAAAGAATGAGCCCATTTCTAAGTGCAAGGCAAAACTCTTCTTCAGAGGGTTCTTTGGGCAGGGACTCTGATGCACCTTGGTCCACCTGTCTTAGCCATTCTGCTGCTTGGTACCGCCTCGAAGCTTATTGACATAAAGTATTAAAGCTGTTAGTTTTTCTGTATTTTACTCCGACTCGGGTGTGACTGCTGGATACGATTATGTGTCTGACACTCGTATAGTCTGATTTCTCAAACTTTTACCATGTATTTAGAGGATCCTTGAGGGTCATATCCTCATATCTATGCGTCAAACACGAATATCAAATACATATACTTCAAAAAAGTTGAAGAGTCAAAGCAATATAGCTCTTTCTACTCCAAACTTCATTTGTCTCCCGCAAGCATATGTTCATAAATCCTAATCATAATTTAGAACTAAATTATAAATAGTTTGAGCTATTTGCTCTGGCCTTTAAAGTATTAGAACAATGTGGTCCCATGTTACACAGACTTTGCAGTAAGTGTAAGACACGAATATTTTCAAAAAGTTTCCAAGTTTTCTCCATATATGTAAGGGTTTGGAGGCTCATATCCTAATAACCATTTCCAAATATATATATATATGTGTGTGTCGGATACGAATACTTAAAGAAAAATGATTAGTCGGAGCGACATGGTTACCTCATTGCAGACATCTTCCTTGTGTATTTCTACACTTTTAATCTATCCTATGGTTTTAAATAAGATAACCCTTATGTTTACCCTTGTTCCTCCCTTTTTATTTCTTTTACCATCTTAGTTTGTATTAACTTCTTATTAAAAAAGTTATACAATTGATGTCCATTGTCTATGAGCCCCAAAAATAAGGAAAAGAAAAAGAAGAAAAGAGAAAGCGACACACTGATAACAACTGGTTGGAATGTCCCAATACCCTACACCAAAACTAAAGTAATATACAAAGGTGGGTCTCCTCAGAATGAGGAGTGTGTTACAAAAGAGTTATAAATGTCGAGAATTCAAACTTCTAACATACTGAATGCTACTTTTTGAACCTTAGGCAGGCATAGCCAGTTGATTAATACAAACCCTTCGTCTATTTTCCAACTAAAATAAAATGTAGACCTAACACACCAATGAATGTGGACCCAAAATCACTTTAAAAACCATGGGATCTCCCGCACTTTGCGCATCATCATGCATCATCATCATGTAGCATATAATGTTCTTTTTTCCCCCCTAATCTTTTTCTCTTCTTTTGAAATCAAATTATAATGAGACCAACAACACAGTTTAATAATATTGATAATATTAGAAGTAACTTTCTCAGGGAACTCGAACAACAAAGAACTGAAATTAAACAATTTGGTTTTCAAATATGAAAGGGATACACTGATCAGGCACTGCGATGATTGAAAGAAATTCTCTTTTGATATTGAAGGATTGGTTGTTGATATATATATATATATAGAGAGAGAGAGAGAACAGAGTACCTGCTTCTTCAGCTTTTCTTTGAGCTAATTCATTTTCATTGAAGACATCATCAGTGTTTGAAGCCTCATTGTCAGATATTAAAACCTTTAGTCCTCTCAGATTCTTGGATGGAGAAGTAAAAATTGGATTAGAGTTGATTTGCTGAAGCATTTTATCAGTCACTTTCCTCTTGGTTTTCCCCCAGAAGAAGCCTTGAGAAAGATTTTGATCACTGGAAAATAATAAACAACAATGTTGATCAAGCAGAATTATGTTAATCAAGCTCAGTAAACAATGCTGGTGAATATGACTTTAGTTTAATCCAAAAAAAAAGTTGGTAAGAAAAGTTGCAGTATTAACATGGAAAATCGGATACAAGAAAGCAAAAAAGCTTGGGAAGAACCATTTTCTTAATTTCTGCAAACAACAACATATGCTTCAAAGAAAACAGCAGCGCAAACAAGAGAAGAACAAACCTAATGGGAGGTGCTGAAACTGTGGCAGAAACCCAGGAATGTTGGAGAGAAAAACAAGTTGAAGGATTGAAGCTGATCAGTTCAATTACTTTGATAGATCCAATATGATATAATATAATATATATCTAACGACTGACACTATATGTATGTCTGTGTGTGTACGAGAGAGTGAGAGAGTGGAAAAGAACAGAGAGAACCAAACTCCTCAAATTCAAAGTTTAAACGTTAGTGTCTTCAATATATTAAAGACCACCACAAAAATTCATTTAATTAACTTTTATTATTACTTTTACATGAAATTATAATAAAGTATATAGTAAACAGTATTAATTACCTGACCTTGTTTCAACGCTTCCACTACACCGTTCTGCATTGAAAGGTTTATATATATATATATATATGATGTTGTTTAATGTATGTGATTATTTAAGCATGTATGAACATTGTTGATTACATTTCTTGATTAAAGTTTGAGATGATTAGTTTGCCATTCATTCTTCTGGTCCTATATGCTAATTTATTAGACATTCTTTACCTGTTTTCAAACTTAAGCTACAATGTTTTGTTACTAGAAGCATAAATGGACGTAAGATTTTATGTTAAGATCTGCGAATATAAAAAGTTGTATTAAGATTTTAAGGTATGAAATTACAAAATTCAAAAATATAAAATAGATAATTGGTAAAAAACAAATATCTAAAATATATGAAAATTTAAAATTTTCAGAGGCAGACCTCCACATCGATAAGGTAGGTGAGAAAATGTTCACCTGAGAATATTAAAATCACAACCACCCCTTATCTTTTTGAATTGTTTGCCTTATCCTTGTGTTGGCAACAAGTATACGTTGGGATATGGTTTATTCCGTTGGTTGGTTTGAAATGAAGAAGGGGCAAAATAAAGCAGTCTAAGGTCCATTTTGGAACGTTGGATCCTTTAATGATTAGGGTGTCCTTTGCTTCTCTCATTACCTTTTTTTCATTTTTTTTTACTTTTCTATTTTGGTTTGGCAATTTAAAGAAAGTTTAAAATTGGGTTGAAATTGAATACTAAACTTGTTTTATAAGCAAGTAAAAGGTCACGTTAGTCAAAATGGTGACAATTGAAATGTAGCTTAATTCCTTGATTTTTCATTTGGTTAATTTAAATCAAATTATTTTTAAATTTTATTTATTTTAAATTTATATATGATTCCTTGAGATTTAACAAGATTCGAGTTAATCATTCGTAATTACGGATTATTTTTTACTAATATAATATTTATTTATTTTGTTGTTATTCTTCAAGGTCCTGGTTCGAACACTAAAATATTTAAAGCACGAACGTTCAATATCAAATGGTGGAGAGTTGTTTGAATAGATATTACATTCAACAACAAAAAAGTATATAATTACATGGTAAACTACTCAAATGACCACTTAACTATAGGTTGGTGCCGATATGATTATCATATTTTCAATTTTGTCAATATGATCACATAATTATTTAAATGGTTTCAATCAAACCATCTACCGTTAACATTTACTAAAAATGTTGATGTGGGAGTTAATAATATTGAAATAATTATACATTTAGTTCTTAGTACTTATACATTCTATCAATTTAGTCTTAATTTTAATTTAATATAAAAAATAACCCTCTAAATAAGAGGTGACACATTTCACCACCTATATATATATATATACTGAATTGTAGTTAATGCGAGATTTTAAAATAAAAATAAGTTTAATATTTTTAAATTAAATTAATTGTTTTTTACGATACTTTTAAATTGTTATAAATTTAAAGTAAATGAGAAATAATTAAAAAAATTGTAGGTAAAAAATTAAGATTTGAATTATAAATTTATTTTTGATTTAAGTTATTTTTGTGACTTTGGATTGTCTAAATGAATATTTAATATAATTATATTTTTAAAATAATTCACATATAATCATTTAAAAATAATTGTGAAACGAATTAATTTAAAAATATAAAAATATTAAATTCATTTTTATTTTAAAACCTTGCATTAACTATAATTTTTTAGATGAAATATAATTATTTATTAGAGTTTTATTATATCGTAATTTATTATATATTTATTATTTTTTCTATTATATTTTATAAAATTCTTCATTTTAACACGAAAAAAATTTAAAATCAGTAACAAATAGTTTAAATCTTAAATTAATTTTTTAACACCTACATTTCCACAAAATTTTCCGCTTGAATTATTTGTCCACCGAAACCTTTAAGGTTTAGTAAGTAAAGTTTTAAATTTTAGGATAAAGAACCTAGATGGCCTTTCATTATAAAGTGTTACTTTATTAAGTTCATCGGTTATTAAAAGTTATAAAATGATCTCTTAATTATAGGATATTAATTTGTTGAGTCCCCAAACTATTAAAAATTGTAAAATGATCACCGACTATTAATATGTTCTAAACTCATCATTTTATGTTAAAAATTTGACGACAATCTAAGTTGGACGTCAACCTACTAATTAGGGGTGTGCAAAAAAATATGATATGATGGATTCGATCCTTTGATATGTGGATCCGATATATTGAAAAATCCAAAAATATGTAATAAAACAGAGGGAAATAATATGCGAATTAATAATGAAAACTTCAACTCTTTTAAAAGATATATAGCACCATTAAATATATTATTATTATTGAGTACAATTATAATCCGTTGTCTTTTTAGCCACTAGGTGTTAATATTAACAGTGCCAAAATTTTATATTATCTGACTACAAAAATGTATAAATACATACTAGTAATAAACTAATAATAACAATATTATTAAATTTAAATATATTTTTTTGTCAAATTACAGTTTATATTCGGATACATATATTCGATCCAAAATTCATATATTCTAAAATTCGGATCGGATACGAATCTTTTAATGATTCGAATATTTAGATATATGAAATTTTGGATCGAATAATTTCCGATATCCGAAAATGCACACCCCTATACTAGTTATGATATAATAAAATTTGATCTCAAAATCTCAAACAACAATCATATATTAGTTAACAAGTTAATGTCTAGCTCAGACTATCATCAATATTTTTAACGAAAAATGACAAGTTTAGAACATATAAATAGTGAAGTGATCATTTTATAACTTTTAATAGACGATGGACTTAATAAAATAACGTCTTATAATTGGATGACTATTTTATAACTTTTAATAATCTGAAGACTCAACAGAATAACACCTTGGAGTTGAATGATAATTTTTTAATACTTTATCCTAAATTTTAAAAATCAAAATTAAAATAGAATTATATAAAATAAATTTTAAACCATTTGCATATAATTTTGTATTATATTATGCGTTGTAATTTGTAAAGACGTAAAAAGGGGATGAACATGAAAAAGACAGCTGTGAGAAAATAATTGAAGATTCAGGGGGGACCCGCCATTTATGTTGGACAATATTTACACACCTGCCAGTGGGGCCCGCTTCTCCAAATCTGACCATTCAAATCCCTCATGTTGTCCACGTGCTCTTCCCTCGGAACGGGGCGGTGCTTTTATTTATTGACGTGGTAAATGCTAGTAAATGCTTTGTTTCTTATTAACTACATTTTCCATTTTAAAAAACATTTATTTCACCAAGGTCATTTATTCGAATTCTGACATTTGTGAATAAGGTAAACTAAGTTGAGAGGATCGTCATCCCCTTTACAGTATTCTATCTGAATTAATCGGTCAATAAATTAAATATCAATGATTAATTCAAAAAAATATCTTTCCTAAATTTTAAAAAATACATCAATTGCCAGAAATATTAACGTTTTTTTTTTCTGAATTTAATAAAACAAATGTACTAAATGAAAATAAATAAATTTTCCTTAAATTTTAAGACACATAAAACCTTCATTAATGGAAAAACTCTATGATTTCATTATCATTTACAAATAATTGTTAAGTATATACTTGTAGATATTCGAGTTTCCAGATAATGGTAATTCTATTTATTTTTAAAAAATATCGAGTATTATTTAAATTTAAACAAATATATTTAGTTAGTTGATCAAGATGTTTATTTTTATTTGCTCATAGGAATGAAGGGATTGGAGTAATTTACTTGTGAGTTGAAAATGAGTTTGCATTTCATTATCAACTTCAGAGCTAAAAAAAGATCCAATTGTAAATAATAAATCTTATTTTGCTTAAAGATTACATGTAACACCCCAAACCGATGCGGTTAGCCCGATCCGATTCGGGAAGTCACATTAGGGTCACCGGAGCGACCCACCGTAAAAATAGCGGAAATTTTAAAACTTTTTATCAGAACATGTAAACTTATAAAATCATTTATCACTATTTAAAAATAAAACAGATTTCCAAACTCGTATATAAATCAAAATACAATTACATGCCCCCTAATCACAAGTACCATACTCTGCAACCACGCCGGAAGAACTCCCTTACTGAAGTCGATAGATGCACTGGTATAATTGTTTTAACCTGAAAATGTGAGTAATAGAGTGAGCTTTGGAAAGCTCAGTAATACAGAACTACCAGATGATGCTACATGACATGTAGATAAATGGAAAGCCATATAATTTCCTTATTGAATCATATGTATACCAGCTTGCAGAATAATTTGGGGTTCCCTTAGAAGTTCATAGAGTAGAAGCCATGAATCTCAGTTCATAAGAAACCTTTCAAAGTATGATATTTTCAGGAGATCGAATAGGATGTCTAGTGTGTTCCAACAGTATAATAAAATCATAATAGGTACAAATCTTAGTCCAGTAAATCTCACAATTTTGTAAAAGAGTTTAACTTTTGAAAATCATAGTTTAAACCCTTTTCTGGTACACCATCAGTAGTTCCCAAAATTATTTTCCATATAGCTTACTTTATGCACATAGCAAAAAGAAAGCCGACTTAAGGATAGGCTCTGAAGCTTGTATCCTTAAGCCCAAGTCAATAAATCCATATAGCTTACCCTAAGCACACAGCAAAGGAAAGCCGACCTAATGAAACATCTTGGGGCCCTCAAGAGTCACATTAGGCCCAGTTAGCTTGATCAGAGCTATTCCATCGTAATTCAATTCCAAAATTCAATTGCACCGTGACACAAATTCCATAAATCCAAAAACATGGTAATCATATACCAGTTCAAAACAAAAATTAGATAGCAG